AAGCTCTAAATTTCCAATTACAATGACTAAATCTTGAAGCACTTCCAGCACCAACTGCTAGTGATAACAGGTTATATGTGACGTAGGAGCAACCAAAAGGTCCCCCTATAGCACAAATGAACAAATAATATCATCTAAATTTGTTTTATTAATGTCTGACTCATTTCCCATTTTCATTCTCATGTATTACAATGATTCCATAGCTCGTAGACCTTTCAAATCACACAATCTTAGAAAAATAAAGGTATCTATATTTGTTCATTGCAATCACAAATTTTAATTAGACAGAATGACAATGCAAACTACCAAATGTATTTCATATATAAATTCCTATTCATGGTACAAGTTTGAAATTAAGTACAGCAATTATTTCCTCATCAGAATCAATATAAGTTCTGTAGAAAGTTATTTTCTCTCATATCAGTAGTTGAAAGTAAAATATTGTTTGGAGAAATTTATAAATTGGTAATTTATAATTTGATGGAAAGAAGTGGTGGAGATTTTGTGGGTTTCACTAAATATGTAGATAATAAGTGGGTAGTAGTTATGAGTCCTATGAAATATAAGGTTAAAATCGATTCAAACTATAAATTGTCAATTTATAAATTCTTCCAAACAAGCTTTAATAATGCTAAAAATACCAAAAAATAATCAATCCAGTGGGCTATGGCACCAAAACGGCAACAAAAAATTCAAGTCACTAGATGTTGCAAACTTTTGCAAAATATATTAAACATACCCTAGTTGTGAAAGCGAACGGTTAATATTCCCAGCTTCCTTCAAACGGTCTCCAGCTGCACCAGTCTGCTTTTGTCTTTCAGATCCAGCCAGATCAACAAAATTTATTCTACTCATCTTCAAGCAGCTAACCCCACCATCAGCCATTCTCTGTGATATACATTTAGGTAATGAGCCTTTAGCAGAGAAGGTTGCAAAATTGCATGGGATAGAAATCAACACACAACAGCTCCACACACGCACACAACAAATAGATGGGAGTAGTGGGATGCATTCAAGCACCAACTAACATGTGCTCTGTGTTTACCTAATTGCAAAAAAACTCAACAGTGACGAAGAATGGATCATAGTCAACCTTAATCAATGATTCTATTACCTTGCTTCGCGATTCAATAACACAAGTGAAGACGCTGTGGGAACGAGAACTTTCAGCATTTACGCTTGTTGAGCCAGTTCTCCGGTTGGACAATCCCTGCACAATTTACGTAGCGTCTATATGTACAATCTTTGAAAGTTATAAGATACTGAAATAATACCTAAAAATCCAGAGCAAGATTTCTACCTAAAATTAAAAGTGAAAGACAACATAACACAGCTGGCCAAAATTCACTTCTCAATTGCAACTTAAGGCTAAAAGCTTGTTTGGAGAAATAGATAAATTGAATCAATTTTAATAACACATTTCATAGCACCCACAACTACTATCCACTTATTATCTACATATTTTGTGAGACCTACAAAATCTACACTACTTTTCATCAATTTATAAATTTGTCAGACACGCTTTAAGGTTATAGACTATTCCTACACATATGGCTTTGTGTTAGAAAAATAAGTTGAATATATATTTGTCCGGGATGTCTGCTTGGAACATGCCAATAAACGATCTAAAAATGTAGTTTGAAATGCTAAACTGGTCTTAATGCTAGTTGAGGGATAGATCTTTGGTAAACTGAGGAATCAGCCTCTCTTCTCTTGAGCGTTTATGTTCTCTTCTCCCTATATAAAATAATTAACCATTTGAGTTAAATGAAGAGAGAAAAGGTAAAAGATAGATAGGATTGAAATTAATCAATCTCATTTAAAAATATGAACTTATTTGTTAAGTTTCCTGCACATAATTCAATTTTTTTCAAGATACAGTCGTTATATGTGATTATCTTTCTTTGAACGGTAAGAACATGTAAATCACAACATAACCTCACCTATCCAAAAATAATCTCAAGGTACTAAAGCATAGTCCTACGCAATTTTATTTCCTTTGAATAAAAGTAATCTGTAATTGAAGTACCCTAAATTATAGTATAATAATAACAAATTCAAAGGATACCACTTTGAACATTAACAAAGCATAAAAGCAGAACAAACCTTTATTAGAAGTTGTGACACATCCTCCATTGAGGATACACACTCCTCTGTCAAATTTTCGACATAAACCCCACTTTTGACGTCTTCTCTTATCTGTAATGAGAAAAATTGAATAAGAAGAAAGACATTTCAATGAGATAATGTCAGGCACCAATTTCACACAATCTTCACGGAAGTACATCTCTCTGCTTTTTTACCTGGAGATTTTTTTGATTTGGATCCAACAAATCAGTAATTTGCTCATTGTAAATCTGTAAATATGCCATTCAAAGGATTCAGAGGAGAGAGAATTAAGTTATATTTTCTGTAGAGCACAAAAGATATCAGAGCCAAGTACCTCAAGGAAAGAGCATCGACACATATATACAAGCTGTTCATCAGCACGCTTCACTTGTTCCTAAAAGGACAATCGAAATCCCACAAAGTAAGAATGTATAACTGAATGCCAGGAAAAGAGTGATAAGAATCATGTAGGAAAAAAAAAATTCAATAATGAAATAGAAGACCTCATTAATGCGCTCAAATAATCGCTGGCAAACTCGAGGTGTTAAGCCTTGTTGATCATTTTCTTCCAACGAGGCATTGGATGCACCCCAGATAGTATAGGTTTTTCCACTTCCCGTCTGGTCAATTGAATTGCAGACATGTCATCCTTAGCAGAAAAATTACATTTTATCGTAACATTCAATTGTATGCATGCACTTGTTTTGCTGGATATAATAACACCGCTACCTAACTCCTGCTGTAAAATGCATAGATGAAAACAAAATTACCTGGCCATAGGCAAACACTGAACTGTTAAATCCAGCTAGACAATTTTCAACGAGGGGTGCCCCTATGAGCTGGAATATATCAATCTGAAATAGATAATGTTACAGATCAAGTTTCACCATCTTTTTTTTATATTTAGGGTTATAAATTTGCTTACACATTAAAATTATAAAATAGTAGAATCTTGCCTGTGTAGACTCAATATTTGCAACTGAGTCAAATGTAAAGGTTTGCCCTGCTATTGACAAAGAATCATTTGATAATTTCAGAACTACTGACTCTCCATCTTCGTCAACCTTGTTTGGCGGTCTGATGCGCACTATTACCTGGTTTATATAGTTACAAACACAAACCCAGTATTTTTGAATCACATATTAATGTCCTAAACAATTTTCAGTGACCAAGTGACAAATCTTAACTAAAGCTATGGTCAAAATAAAGGAGTTACAGTAAAATTCAAGTGAATGCCCACAAAGATAATTGAAACAAAAAAAAAATGAAATTATCCAAATATAGTAGAAGAAGCTTTCATCATCCACTTCACAATATCCAATAAAGTTCGTTCAAAAGTACATGAAATTCAAAATTTTAATTGTTGTAGCTCAATATTATAGACATGCATTTCCAATTTTACCTGAAAACACAGAGAAAAGAATTATTGTAGTTCCAGATTAAGTTGGAGAATTCATTCTTATTACCATTTCACTCTTGTTAATTCAAGGACTGCAATTACTCAAACCCAATAGAAATTGACTAACTTGGTTTCCTCAAAAATAAAATGTAAGTTTCACAAATTTTCTAACTTAACAAAAATTCAGCTGCACAAGTACTACTTCATTCATTCAGAACCATTTAAAAAACCAAATCTTGTTCCAGAAGATCTTATATCAACTATACATGCTCCTGGCATTTATGCTGGAGATGTCACATCACATTCGAAGAGGAGAGGGAATTTCAAATAATGGGGCTTCCTAAGTAGACAATAAAATAAAATAAAAAATCAGAAAATTACGGAAACTCAAAACATATAGAGGTTTTATCCAACAATATGAAAATTCCAACACAGATCTGAACGGTACACTACTGAAGCCGAAGGTAACAATACTATAAACCTCACTAACCAATGCAAGTTGAAGTAAAACCAAAATCATCTAAAATCAAATTTCCTTCCAGATATTCACCTTAACACCAGAATCGGCAGGATTCGTAGGTCCATCACTATTCTCCAATCCCACTGCGGCATCCGCACTGAGCTTCCGCTTGAGCGTGGGCCGCGGAGGAAGCGGGCTCTTCATCTTGGCAGTGGCAGGTGACGCAGTCGAGTTCGGATCTGATGTCGGCGCCGCATTTTCTTTAGAAGATTTTTGTCTCCGGTTGCTAGGGCTTGCTGCTGCTACTATCAATTTACTTTTAGGGTTCGGAAATGCGGATGGTGTTGGGGGTGTAGCGGACTCATGATTCTCTCTCAATATTTGATTTCTTGGCATCATGAAATGCTTCATTTTTACAGTAGAGAGAGAAAGAAGATTTGTGCGAATGGTGTTAAGAGAGATAATCAGACAAGTGGAGAGATAAAGATGTAGCCGTTGGCGAGAGGCGAAGGGTTTGATTTGAATTTAATATTNAGGCGAAGGGTTTGATTTGAATTTACTATTTAGGGGAATCATTCTACTTCAACACTGATTAACAGTTCTAACATCATTATATTCATTCATTTTAAAAAATTATTTTCTACATCACATTTTAAGATTTTGACGACATATAATTCTCAATCAATGTTGTACAATTAGGAGCTTATTTGGGAGAGATTAAAATCGGATTAAAATTGAAAAATTAATCGTTATTGTTGATTTTTATTAGACGAGTGGGACCCAATAACAGCTATATTTTCAATTTTAATTGAATTAAAATCCCTCCAAAAACAAGCTCTAGATTTATTTTTAGGGGGAGAGAGGGAAGACCGAAAAGGATTTTTTTGGGAGCTTGTAATAATCGGAGCTACATTCGGGGTACGGTCGATGGACTTTGAATTCCTTTTTATCATTTTGTAAATGATATCGAAAGTCAATAATTGTTTTAAAAATCCAGCCCCTATCGGGTGACATCTAAAAACATGATTACAAATTATTCAGATACTATGCTAAATATCGATGAAATGAATAATTAATTTAATTGATGTATCAAATCATCGTGCTAAGCACATGTGCTTGGTAGATCATTTCTCAAGAAATAATTTTATTCTCTGATTGATAAAAAAAGTAAATAATAATAATGATGATGATGATGATGCATGCATGCTTGCTTGCGGATTATTGGATTATCAAAACTAGCTTGGTTGCGACATCAATTAATATTGTAGAATGGAGGATTTTAATTTTAACTTTGAACAAGAAGTTTGATTGAGAATTATGAAAGATCATATCGCTGCGACGTGAACTAATAATTACACTCTAGTTAAATAGACCAATCTAATTTTAAAGTATTTTAAAATTTATGGTGAAAGAGTCAGAACTCGAATTTAACAGAGTCCTCACTGAGCCTCTGTTTGACAAATATTTTTTTGAACTTTGTTTTATATATTCATTTTTAACCACACATTTACACAATAAAATATTTTATACATAAATTCAAAAAAATTTCCTACTTTCTAATCACACATTTCCCCAAAAATTACTATTCAAAATATGATTTTTTTTCTATTTCGTGGTTGTCAAACGGAGGATAAATGAAGGAAATAATTGTAAACACAAAATATGATATATTAAAAATAAAAAAAAATATATAAAAAATTCTTATAAATTGTTTATTCTCGAATTTCAGCGGGGTCGAATATACAACAATCAATTCATTCTTCATCGGCCACCAATTATCATCCAGACTGTTATGTTCATTTGATAACATTTTTCTACATGAAATGAGACCTTGTACTCCAAAACGTGAATATTTCAATCAATACAAGTACATCGTTATATGTTTGTAAAAGGGAAAAAGAAACTGAGAAAATAAACTTTAGGTACTAGGTTGTGACAGTTCGAACATAACATTCAGTAGCTGATAAGAAGTATCACTGTTGAAAAAGTGAAAATTGAAATTAAAATAATCTATACGAGGTCGTATAGTGATGAAATTCTAGTGCATGTTAGGGTGCATCAAATCGCCTCACGTGTTTTATCGAAAGGAAAGTAAAAGTAAAGATAAATTTTTTTTTTTTTCTAAAATTGGAAAAAGAAATTCCTCTATAATCAAGCATATAATTGTTAGGCTTCACTCAAATATATGGTCGATGCTCGCGTCCAAGTGCATCTTTATACTTCATGATCATTCAAAAATCTAGAATTAGTGACAAATCATGAGAGGCTATCAAGACCATCCTGAAATTCACAATCTTTTGAGTATAATCTGTAATTAAGTGAAACTTTTGGGACTGCACTGCAATTCTCCCTAATTAAACTGAATATTCAAGGCGAGATAGTAAATAAATATATTGGTGAGCATTCTCACACAATCACACTCATTATAATCATTTGAAAGAAGTTAATTCACAAATTCTAATTCGATCGGATTTCGACGCAAAAGTAAGTTTATTCCATTCTTTTGAGTTAATTTATCTGAATTGTCCTCAAGTTTGTTGATTACGTATTTGGTTGATTTTTAAATTGTATATTGTCGAGTGGTGTAAAACATACTAAAACTATGGAGGATGTTTAGTTGCTATGATTTTGGATCGCAAGATAATGAAATAAACAATAAGAAAATAAACATCAAAATTTACGTAAAAACCCAATACGGGAAAAAATCATGAGTAGAGAAAGAAAAATCCACTATAATCAATAGCAATTGTGTTTACAAGATCTCAATACACTCAATTGAAATCTAAAACTCTCAAAATGTTGTATGAATCTTCTTAATATATATATATATAAACCCTAAAAAACAAGTTGTAGAAGAATAGGAGTCCAAAATCGCGTCAAAAATGAAAACATGCCTGGCCGGATAAGCCTTTGCTCGAGCGACATGGCAGCGCCAGACGAGCGACCAAGTCTCGGGTTGTTTTCTACCGGGCTCACTCGAGCATCCAAAAAAATTTATTGTATTATTCATCCAACTTTTCAAAGAAATTTTTGTCTCTCTACATAATCAAATTCTTCTCTTTCACTTGTTCATTTTGAAGATTCACTTTACTTTTGGTGATCTTCATTAAAGATTTGTTTAACCCTATAAGTTATTTGTCAATTAAATCTTGAAAGCATTGTAGAGGAGGCAAATATCGTTTGAGGACGGCGATATATTTTTCGTGGTCAAGCCTTTACAGGATTTTATTCATCATCTTCTTTCTTTATTTTCTCCGTTGCACATCAGAAGAATGGAAAGGTGTATATGTAGTGAAAAAATGAAGAAACTGTTGAATGATCTTTGTGAGAGTTCGAATAGAAAAAGAAGGACAAGTTTAGCAAGGGAGTGAATGAAGAAGGAATATTCAAAGGTCCAAGGCAAGGATTGTAGGTCACGGTTTGTTTTGGATTTGTTGTGCCGTATTTTAGTAAAACTTGATTCTAAGCGCGTGCACTAACCAGCCGAATTCTCTATTAGTCTAGGAGTTAGATTTTGCTTGGCGTATCTTGTCAATGTTGTGATCTGAAAAATGTCTAGACATGTGTGATACAGAATCGATTAGTGAGCTGAGCATATTGTGGTAGGAGCGGTGGTTATTCCACTCCGGTGAACAAGTCAATTACTAAGCAGACAACATACTAGTTAACATAACCAACACGCAATTCTTTAATTTTTGAGGTAATCTAAGCCCTACAGGAATGAGAAATTTGCTATTGTTTTATCAAATACTATTGTTTTACTTTGAACATACAACTTTTGTTTTACTTTAAACAAACAACTGGTTTTAGTGGTATGCCATTTCGAGTTAGATGAAGTTAGATACCAACTCGATGAATTTGTAAGTTGGCATTGTTTCCATGAGTTCTTACCTCGTTTTCATATGCATAATATATATCTTAGAAAATTAAAAGAAATACTTGTCTATACACACTTTGTAATACAACTCTTCTTAATTACTCTGAACAAATCTTAGTCTTAAAAGCTGGTCGATTATGCACATGTGACGAAGAACTCAACAATTCGACATCGAATAATTAAAGAAGAAAAGGAACGAAAAAGAAAAAAGAGACTAAGAAAGAATTTAGGGTAAGAATATACAAATTTATTTCATATATTCAAGGGTGTCAGTGACTAAAACTTAAGCCCCTGCATACAAAGAAAGGGCTTTCAATCCAAGTAAACTCTTAATCTAAATAAACTTGTAAAAGATAGCATTGAGATAACAGCAAACTCATAACATATATAAACCAGATTTCTTTCAAATATTTTTCTTCTTGAGTAGACTTGTGCTTGTTTCCGTGTTGCATCAATGTGGA